GGAACAAATTTGGTTGCAAAACTTCCCTTTATCATATACACCCAGCGACACCGATGCCAGCTGACTGTGATTTTGTAATAGCAGTGTTCAAATGACCATGCTTTTTATTTTGGCTACCTTGCACACTGGTAGGAGATCGCCGGCGTCGATATTGTTACACTGTATCAACGTAATCCTACTGCAACTTTGAATGAGCTGTAAATGCTGCCTTCATTCTAGAAAATACTATTGCAAAACGGATGGAAATAATAAATGATGTAACAGAAGAATACGTCCTAGTAATAAACTTAAGTGACTTCTAAAGACTGATTGTTTTTTGCAAACTTCGTATATGGGCCCATTTAGTTATAAACAGGAATTTGTTTCAGCTATTAGAACACAATGATAGAGTTTTCATAGTAATTCAAAATGCACTTTAAAAACAAAGATTGCAGTGTTTGAAGATGTAGATTCTCAGTAGGCAAAGTACTGTTGACTTCTCTCTCCACTGGACACCAACTAACTATTTAAGTTGATTTGCATACAAAGCAGAGCTTGCAACATGATAGCTATTCATAGAGGGCGATTTTGTTTACTTTTCAAATATTACAGTAGTCACTCAATGAATATAATAAGGCAGTTCATATTTGTCCCAGTGATTCGTTAATTTTTAACAGACACCTGTACAAAATACTTGGGCAAAAGCCAGCTAAGATTTTCTGGTATCATGCATGGTTTATGAATCTATTCACATCTATATGCAGCACCTTTTTTCTGAGATGAGACATTTGTTTTTATACTAAAAAATCTGAATTACTCTGAATAAAACTGGAAATTATGTCCTTTAAAATAATTAAACAAATTAGGCACCAATGTTTTTGTGAGATATTTACGTCTATCATGGACATTCGGTAAACTGTTTTCCCACTGTTGTTTCATCATCTCTACGTCATTCTGGATCGCTTTGTGATTTCATTCTAAGGCTTAGGAAAATAAATTACCGGGTAGACTAGTTTCCAAGCTTTTGGCTCACCTAAATGATTTAATTTTTTCATTGGAACTTTGTGATCTTTTTAATTTCCTAGTGTTCTTTAATGGTCTTGACAATAAGTGTGAATTGCTGTGCTAGCCTACCCCAGACAACGACAGTAAATATAAATTTGCATAAAATGCAGTTCACAGGCGAGCACAACCTCCATCGCGTTGCACAGCCCATTTGATTTCCTACGAATGCCTGATTAGTTTGTTACACAAATCTTGATGTTTAATTTAAGAAAACATTTTAATGCCTTGCCTGATTTTTTTACAGTCTGCTAATGTGTGATCATTACACTTCCTTTTTCAGATTGATCTCTCTGAAGATAACTCCCAAAATAAAAACAGCAATCTCATTACCATACCATTGCAAAGTTTCATAGAACCTGAAGCACTACAAAAACCAAGTGTCATTGTTCCAATCAAGGCTGCCACGAGTTTAGTGCGAAATGACAAATTTAGTCGATTTGTATCAGAATCTGAGGAATCAGAGGATGACTTAATAGACAGTGGAAAAGATAGCGAGTCTGATAAAGAGTCTTCATCTAAAAGTGATGATGAGGATATTGAAATGAGCACATCACATGCAACTGATGATTACAGTGTTGACGTCAGTCCATCAAACTCAGAGGATGAAGACAATTCAGGAAAGGAGCTTCAAGAAAATAGTTCTGAAAAAGAGAATGAAAAAGGTTCTTCTGAAAGTGAGAGACCTGAAGAAAGTAGTTCAGAGGAGGATGGAACTGTCAATGAACAAGATGATGATGATGATGATGATGTTGAACCCCTTAAATCAAGTGAGATGATCAACAGTACTGCTCCAGATGATTTTGTAGTTTGTGAGAAGGCTGCAGTCACTCATGCTGCGTCTGATAATAATGTCCAGTCAGATAAACATTGCTTCTCACTAACAACGTCCAGCAGAAACTCTTTACCGACATGGTCTAGTAGAGATCTATCTTCACCAATAAGATCTAGCACAAACTCTTCAACACCAAGGTCTAGCAGGGATAAATCTCTTCCAACAAAGTCTAGCAGAAATTCTTTACCAACAAAGACCAATGAAGATCGATTTCCAACAACAAACTCTTCACCAAAAATAAGTAATAGAGATCGATCTCCACCAGCAAAATTTAGCAGAAACTTTTTACCAACAAGGTCAAGTATAAAACAATCTCTACCAACAAAGTCCAGTAGGAACTCTTCACCAACAAGAACTAATAGAAATCGATCTCCACCAATAAAATCTAGCAGAAATTACACTTTACCGATGAGGCCTAATCGAGGTTGCTCTGCATCAGCTAGGTCCGCCGACAGAAGTGACATATCAACAAGGCCTAGTAGAGATACTTACCTGCAGTCTAGGGATATTGGGAATTGCTTACCTGCATCTGGGCAAAAAAGGAGTTCAATACTGTCTATTAAATCTTCCTCTCCTAGTTCTCAGCCTGGGCAGTCAGGTAAAGATGTTGAAACATTGCCAAATATTCTTGAACAAAGACGAGAAAAATTCAATAACAATGCTATCCACTATAAAAAACAAACTAAGATATCTCTGAAAAGTACTGGTTTTTTTGACCAGAAAAAGAAGAGCTACAGGACATGTAAAATTCAAAGTGATAGCACAAGTGATACTGATAGTGATAGTAGCTCTTCTTCTGATTTAAGTTCACGAGAGTCATCCAGTAATGAAGGAACAATTCCACTGGAAGACAGTGAAACTGACTCTGAAGGAGAAGTGACAAGGTTTAAACAAACTGGCACAACCGAAAGAAAGGATGATTTTAGGACAAAACGAAGAGTTATTAAGGATAATGTTACAGGGTGGACAAACCGTGAGAGGCCTTATCGTGACAAGGATCCTAACTCTGGCATGAGGAGCAGAGACAATTTTCATCATAGCCAAAACCCACGTAGTCATAGATTCGACATAAATTCTCATAGGAGCAGGCCACGGAGTTGTAGGAGCAGGCAACGGAGTTACAGTCCTCAAAGAAATCGAGGACGCAGTAGGAGTCCAAGAAAGAAAAGGTATTCAAGTCCTAAAAGAGCTTTTACTGTCCACCAACGTTCAAGTTCTAAAAAGAAAAGCAGTTTATGCCCAAGCCCTAAAAAGGAAAAACTTTTAAGTCGCCATCAGAAACACAGAGACAGTCCAAAAGCTGATATACACAGAAACTTGAGTCCAAAAAATAGAACTCAACATACCCATAAATCTGGTCCAAAAAAATATAAGTGTGGAAGCTCAAGTCCCCAAATGTCAGCTACATCTCAGATTGAACAAAGTCACTTGAAGTGTAGCCAGTCAAACTCTGAGAGTGTCAGTAGCTCGCAACCAGTGAGAACAGTCGTCAGTAGTATAGTTAAAATCAGCTCAAAAACTGAGAGTCCTAGCATTATAACAGAAGTAGATGACACGGCAATAGAAAAACAAGATAAAAAACTGAAAAGTACTGCAAGAACCTCTCTGCTTGATGTTGAGAAAGATGACAACTTCAGGGATTATGACAACCACAAGCAAGTCCAGAGGTCAGAGAATAGAGATGTTAGTAAGTCTGAGAACAGAAGAACAAGTCCACAGATACAGATTACCTTTTGTGGCGGTAAGTATTGTCTGGTTAAAATTCTAATGAATTTTATTTGGTAGCTAAAATAAATCACTCCACACCACACCAACACCATTGAAACATTTAAACATTTAAATAGGTCATTGCTTTCATCTGCAATGACATGAAATTGTTTTCTGTCACACATCCTCTACACAGTTCTTCAGGATGTTTTGGGTTTAGCTCATAGGAATTCACTTGACATTGTCATTTGCATTGGCTTGTGGATTGAAAATAACCCACTGATATGAACCTTGGGCCAATTACATTCCAACTTTACCCATACACAATCCATCAGAGATTCAGGGTAGATTCCTGGCACAAATTGCCAAATCTTACTATCAGCCATTTAATAATTGGATCTAATACATGTATGTAAATTCCAAATTCGCTATTATTTTTCAATATTATTAGCTCCGCTGTCGACTTTGTCGAGCGGAGCTTATCATACGAGTGATTGTCCGTCGTCGTCCGTGTCAATGTTTTACTTTTTCGACTTCTTCTTGAAAACTACAAGCCTGAATGCTTTGATACTTGGTGTATATGTACCTTGGGTAGACCTCTCTCAGATTTGTTCATTTCATGATATCTTCAATTCTCTAATTTTGGTGAATATTTTTGGTAAAAAGTGATATTTTCGACTTTTTGTTAAAAACCGCAAGTCCAATTGCTTTGATATTACATATAGGTACTACATGTGAATCTCTCTCAGATTTGTTGATTTTGTAATGATATCTTTAATTCTCTAATTTTGGTGAATATTTTTGTCATTTTTGGTAAAAAG